AATTCTGCTTAATCTATTTTCCGGGGAAAAAAATTTGATGTGATTCTAATTGTCCTTACATCAATTAGTATTTAGACTAATTCAAGTAAAATCATTCTGACCAGAAAACATCAAATTTTAAACGATATATCAATGAATGTCTTCTATATACTGATTATATTGGCTTGAAATATGATGATGTTGAAAATTTACAAAATGGCATTTCTAACAGTGTGGTGAAATAATACAATTGACTTAACGCTTATTTAAAAAATTTACACATCAAAAATGTCTCATTGCATATCAAATGAATCTCAAAGTTTTTCTCTACCACGTTTTTTAACGATACTAATATGATAAAAAACACGTTGTTTAGGTGGGATTTAGAAACATACAACAGTGCAAGAAAAGAACTTAAAGAACTGAAACTGATAAAGTAAGATTACATGGTTTGTTTACCAATTTGAAAATTCAAAAGATCCCCTAATTTTCTAAGTTCGCGAAAATTTAGCATTTTTTCTGAACATGTTTTTTTACATTTTGATTGCTTGCAAAAAATACAAAAGTTTTTTGCTTTTTTCGCAAAATTTTGCTTTCATGTTTGCAAAAAATGCAAAATTTTCGTGTTTTTCACATTTTTTTGCAAAAGTTTTGTGATGGAAATCTTTGCTAAACATTATTTTGAAACAATCCATTTTAAAAATAATTTTTTCAAAAACTTTTTTTTTGTTTTAATTAGATCCTACGATGAGGAAGTTTGTAAAAATGCCACCTGTTTTATCACTACAAACTCACATATCTGCTCTAAAAGGGTAAACAAATTTTTACAAATATATAAAACATTGATTATGAAAAGAAAAAAAGTTATGTCTATGTACACTTTAAGGACCCATTCACAATTCCACTTTCCACATAAAGAATAGGGTTCTGTCTACTTCCTTACCCATGACTTTGTAATATTATTAATATGATGTAAATCATAACAATTATAGTTTCATGATTAAACAATAAAAATATGCTTTGAAGTATCTAAAATGCAACTAATCAGAGTAAAAATTGTAGAAACTGAACAGCCAACCAGAAGCCGAAATATTCTAAAATTTTGTTCGCGATTAATGAGAAACTCTCTTTGGCCGGACTCAAACAAGGATATCCAAAAAAGAGGATAAAAGAAATCACATAACATAATCACAGAAAAGTTTTTCGCTCTGATTTAATAACAAAATGTTTTCTTTTAGGATAGATACACAGATCTTGTCTCCACAGAGTTTAAATCCCCGTTAGGGTGGCACAGTTTAAAATTCAACAATCTAGAATAATTATAAAACAGCAGATGTTAAGTACTTTCCCAAAGGGTTTCCCAAGCGGCAACTTCCCAAGGCTATTTTCCTAAGTGTATACTTCCCAACTTTTCAAGATTGTTCTAACTGCAATGTTTTGCCTACCTAGTCTTTTCTAGCTGCAGTGCTCGGCCACCTAGCCAATCCTTGCAGCAGTGCTTGCCCCCACCCCCACCATTTCAGCCTGCGCCACCTCAGAAGGGCTAACCTTAGGGAACATTTAGGAAGTTGTCACTTGGGAAAATTCCTTTGGGAAAATACCTAAACCAAACAGCGTACTTTTATAAGTTAGGGGGGGGCAGGGGCGTAAATAAGGATTCTGTAGGGAAGGGGGAAGTATTTTTTTACCCCCCTCTAGAATTTTTTTACCCCACCCTAGAAAAATATCATGATGTATATCAAATTATTGGTTTTAGTTGGGTTTGATTTGCATTTTTCACTCATTTCTGGCATTTACAAACTCTATCAAATAAAGGCAATTCATTTCCTACCTTTCAGCTTTTACCTTGTTTTATATCCTTCATTAGTCATTCATTTTACATTAACTACAAAAATCTGTAAAAAAAAATGAAAAAAATAGTTTTACTTTAAGAGGAAAAAGATGTAACTTTTTAAAATCTTTAGAAAAGCTACTCTGCAAAACTTTGAAAAAATATTGTCTTTGTTTATATTCAAATTTCTAATTTCTAAAATTTTCTTGTCGTCAATGTACTAGGTATATATGTTAAAAGAGAAATGTAATATGTCTTACTTTTTAAATTTATTTTTTAATAATCTTGATCTTTTAACAATTTTATGCTTCATACTGAATTTGACATATTTGACATTCGTCTAAATTTTTATGGTAAAGTTGATTGAGTAAGATTATATGCGCGAAGCGCGAAATTTTTTTTATATTTTTCCTTTTAATGGTAATCATGGACATAGAGAATGGAGATCAGACCCCAAGGATTTTAGGGGGGGGGGGTAAGTAACCCAAATGACCCCCTTTATTTACGCCACGGGGGGAGGGGGGGTAATTACAGCAATTAAAAACCTTAATCTTAATTTATTACACTTCCCTGGCCTATGGATTCTGATGCCTTTGTCAACTTTTATAACGGGTATGGTTTGTGAATAAACTGGATGTTATAGATTAAACCGTACTGTGCATGTAGGGATGTTAACGTTTTCTTTTTTTATCGTTTCGATCGTTTCGTTATGAAAACGACGACTAAAATAGAAAAAGAAACGATCATTTTTTAAAACGACCGTTATTATAAAGTTCGTCGTTTCGTTAATGATCGTTAACAACAACCCTTCGTTAACGATAGTTAACGACGACCAGCTTTGTTAACAATCGTTTTTTCAAAAGAAATCGTTTTTAAAAAAACAATCGAATAAAAAACGGTCGCAAATCGTTTTTAAAAAACGATCTTTATTAGTTTTCTAAAAGTTCAAAACGAGTGGCCGTCGTTTTTAAAAACGATCGTTTTGTCCCCAGAAGGAAACGATCGTTTTTGAAAACGATTGAAAAACGAAACAAAAAATACGATCGTTTTCAAAAACGATTAACAACCCTATGTGCATGAAACCATAAGAAAACAACTTTTATATGAAAAATGTTAATATTTTAAACTGTAGTTTTGTAGAAAACCCGTTGGGTGGCGCCACGATACATAATTCACAGATAGAATATCACATAGAATCCAAAAGCACCGATTTGGTAGGAAAACAGTTGTTCTACTACTCCTCTTCTTTTCTTCACTTAAAGGGACCGTTCATTTTTTCGGGTAATTTGAGGGTTAACTGAATAGCCTATTAGCTATTCATTGGTATTAGTTATACTTTCCAAAGACAATTCAAAAAGTCGATTTATCATTCAGAATTCCAGTGCTAAGGTATAACGGTACCTTAATAGTTATTTGTAGATATCTTTAATTTTTTAAAAAATTATTTTTAAATTGTCTATTTTCAAAATATAATTTATTTTAAAAATTTGACGGTTTGGTAAGTTTTCCCTGCTTCCACAGAAATCCCAGTGATTTATTTAAGAGTTGAAATCTAGGAACCAGTTTGTCTGAGAGAGAAAGTTGTCTTTGTAAAAACTTGAAATATGATAATTTAAGATTGTATTGGGCTGTTGATACCGAAAAAAAAACGTTTAAATAGTGTTTATTCAAAGGGATCGTACTTTTCCGCTGGAATTCTAAGCGATAAGTCGGCTTTTTCTCTGGTCATGGATATCTTTGAAAAGTAAGATTAATAGCATGAATAGCATAATAGGCTAATTAGTTTACCATGAAATTACCCAAATAAGTGAAAGGTCCCTTTAAACAGGATTATTTTTAATTATTTCATAATTTTATTATTTTATTATTTTATTGTAATATTTATTGTTTTATTCTTTTTTTAGAGACTTGGTTACAGAGGAACCTTCTGCCAGTATTTGGATACATGTGCTGTAAGATTTTAAAATTAAATTAGACAAACTTTTCAAAAGACTAATTATTTTTTTCAGCCAGCAGCTGTTACTTTTGAAGAAATTGGAAGATTTATGCATTCTTTTGACAAAGATTCTTTTTGTAACCTGAGTAAGTAATTTAGAAACCTAACCTAACCTAACCTACCCTTACCTAACCTATTGCAGAATTTACAAAAATATTTGTGAATAATTTATTTTTCATTTTAGAAAATAAAAACGTTCTCTCAGACAAAAAATATAAGGTAATAACATTTGATAAGAATTCTCCTTTAGCTTTTGATAATTGCCCTACAGTTAAGGCTGGGCGTCGTTAGTTGGGAACGATCGTTCTTTCACGGGAAAGAACGGAACAGAACGATTTTTGAAAATTAGAAACATGCCCAGCTTTATCTACAACGGCTTTTTATGCTTGACTTTTCATAAATCAATCAATTACAATTACAAAGACATTAAGGAGTAAAAAATCATTTAGTTTCCTCGCCATATCTAGAAAATAATTTTATAAAAAGGGGAAAAAAGTCCAACATACTTTTTAAAAATCTCTTATAGGGCTAAAGGCAAAAACTGTGTGTTTTTATCCAATACACTCGCTTTTTTTACCAAAAAGCATTGCTAATGGAATACAAATATTGTTTTTTTATAAGAGCAATGAAACTAAAGAAGAGTGTGAGAAAAGAAAGTTTACTAATATAAGGTGAGTCTTCTGTTTTTTTGTTGATACAAAAAAACAATTTAATTTGGTTATCAGATTTTTTGGAAGCAAAATTTTAAAAAAACCTTTCCAATACTGCCACATTAATTATATTTCTATTACAAAGTGTGCCCGCAAAATAAATCATATTTGTATTACAGGGTGTGCCCGCAAAAAATATTTGAATCAAAAGATCAGGACGAAGAAGACCCAAGTTTTAAACTGTATGAAAGTGCTATGCCCAAACTATGGGACAAACAAAGTAAATCCAAGAACAAAAAAGACGATGAAAGCAAAGAGAAAGGACAAGATGAAAGCAAAGAGAAAGGACAAGATGAAAGCAAAGAGAAAGGACAAGATAAAAGCAAAGAGAAAGGACAAGATGGAAGTAAAGAGAAAGGACAAGATGAAGGTAAAGAGAAAGGACAAGATGAAAAAAATGAGAAAATAAATAAACAAGTGATAAGTAATAGAATGGAAATGTTTAAAGACAAAAACGTAGAAATAGATAAACCAAGCAAAGCAAAGATTAAGAAAAGTAAGAACAAAAAGCACAAAAAGAGAAAAAAAGATAAAAAGAAAAAAAACTCCAAAACGAAAAATAAAGACAAAAAACAAGAAAAGAAAAAATCTAAAAACGAGAAAGAAAAGGATAACAATGAATTGCTGGAAGCATTTATTGAAAGTATCGCTGAAAATGCTAAGTTAGATAACAAAAATCAATAATAAATGTATCAAAATTTTAAATAAAAAAGCAAATAAAATTGCACATTTACTTAGTTTTCCTATTATCTACTTAACTCCTTCTGTTTGAAGCTGAACCGAGTACTGCAGCCAGGATAGTCTCAGTCAACAGGATAGAATAATTCATATTTATACCCTAGTTCTCCTCATAGTCAATAAATACTAAAGTGGAATAGACTAAGGCAACAAATTTGGCCCCCCCCCCCTAAAAAAACTATAAATAATGTCCTGTAAGGGTGTAAGTAAACTTAAAATTTAAAAGGGAGTGTTCGCGAAAAATGAAAGGGGGTATAGGCTTAATGCGATAAAAAAGCGCTTTTGATTGCTACTAATATTACTTCTATCTGTTGCTCTATAGAAGAAAATTGTTAAAAACGACTATAATACCGAAGAACGTAGTGTCCATACAAATTTAGAAAGATGCAACATTCAACTCGGATCCTAAACAAATAAATTTAATTTGGAATTAAATTGATTTGTTTACGATCCCTGTTGAATGTTGCATCTTTCCGAATTTGTATGGACGCTGCGTTCTTCGGAGTGAGTCGTTTTTAACAATTTTCTCCTTATAGACGCAACAGATAGAAGTAAGATTAGTAGTGCTCAAAAGCGCTTTTTATCGCATTAAGCCTATACCCCCTTTCATTTTTCCCGAACACTCCCTATAATATCTATAAAACTATGTCTAATTCTCATAAATTTGTTAAAATACAAAAGTGAAGACCTCGAGATATATTTCGAAGATCTTCATTTTTCGGTATCACAAATTCTGCATTCCGTGTTTTACAGATTATGCATGCAGGCATTATTGTGTTGTCTGAAATTATAGTGCAATAAAATGGCTAAATTTCACTTCTGAAATCTTAATTTACGTTAATCTATATTTAAGTTAAATACAAATTCTAAGTCTATTTCACAACCGACCTATTGTTATGCTATATAATAGGAATATCTTTAAAACATCTCTGTACATTTATATCTTTCAAGATGAAAAATGTCGTCTTATGTGCAATCTATCTTTATCTATGGGAAAAACGAATGTTGTTCTTATCTTTATCTTATATTTTTAGAAAATAAAAATGACGAAAAAGACACAAATTTTAATTTTTGTTTTTACTTCAGTATAAAATGATGCTTAAGACAGCTAGGACATTGACTGATATTATGATTTTCTCTTTTATTATATCAATAACTATTTTATCACTTAAACTTTAATAACTTAGTTGAAATTATATATCTTCTTTAATAGTTGTAATAAAAATATTCAATTGAATTCTTAACACTCTATACATTTCAGTTCATTATATGTACCGGGCCGAATTTGAACTAGCCAGGGCAAGCAGTACAGTACAAAAACAGACTATATAATGGGACGGTACAATGAATGATCGCCTTCTAGTGAAATTTTGTGTCTAGTTTAAGTTATAAATTAATATTTTATTGTTTATATAAAGTAACATTAAGAAGGGATCTTGCCTGCCATGGAAGCATGAGCATTGCTGTTTATAGGGACTGTAAGTGTAATTCCAAGCTACCTACCACTTTCAGAGGTTCATTTCCGTTTCACACCGGTACTTTTTAAACCTTAGACTAAAAGCTGTTTTACATTATGGAATACTTATATTTACTTGTTATAAATAGCAGAACATAAATATTCGCATTCGAATTTTTAAAAAGCACGTTGGACAAAAACATTCTAGATCTTCTAGGATTAGTTATGACGTCATCTGTATTGAGTTCACACAGTACGCTTGCTTACACTCAAAGTTTACGTTTTTTACACAGGATTTAAGAGATATGTACACTGTGTTTACTATTCTCTCTGTCCTGGATGATAAAACTAAGGTTTATAGAATACTACTGTGAATCTGTGATAACCAATGAGTATGGAATAGAAGGGAGATATAACTGACCCGGTCCGCCCTACCATACGATTGTACATGCTTTGCAGATGGTACTTCATTTGAATAAGAAATATTTGTCTGATGTACAATTACCGCGTACACAATAACCTATTCTGAATATTTTTTATTCAAATGAAGTACCGTCTGCAAAGCATGTATAATCATTTGGTAGGACGGGCCGCGTCATTTGTAACTCCCTTCTAATCCATAGTCCTTGGTTATGACCGTCTTTAAAATATGGAAGGCCACTCAAAATTTCGCTTACAGACACAGTCCCCTTTAGCACCACATCCAAAAGAAGTCTTTTACCTTTATTGCGACACTTATGTCATCAGATTGATCTTAATTGCATCTCTAAATTGTCACCTTTTTAAAGAAACACACTGTCTAAAAAATTATAACACAGTTCTCTGTATTATTGGCCTAGGACAGTTTGCCAGATGATCATGAAACCGAATTTGTTTCCTAAAAAAGAAAAGTTTTTTTTGCAGGAACAATTTTTTGCTACAAAGATTGGTTTCAAACTTATAGAACAAGTTAATATTTTGCTTAAACAGATCATATAATAAACTTTTTGCAGTGCTCAGACCCTTTTCTAAATGATAAACTGGCTTAATTTATACTTCCAAGCTAGTGGCGTAGTGGCCTATGATAGACCGGGTACTGTAAAAGTCTGGCTGCGCTAAAACTGGGCCAATATAGGTGGGGTCGGGCAGGTACTTGCTACGCGTTCCAAGGCCGGTACAACTAGTTGGTCCGGTTCGAATTCGAATTGAACCTAGTCCACTGTAATATGAAGATGATGCCAATATGATGATGATGATAATATCCAATATGAAGATGATGATGGTATCTAATATAAAGATATTAGTTGTATTACTGCTCCTGGTAGAGATGGGCACGTTCAGCTCTTTTTCGTTTTGTTTGTTCTTCGTTTGCTGAAAAATGATATTGGTCGTTCTCAAAATTATCGTTATCGTTTTCTCATTGAACAATTGTTGAGTAAAATCGTCTGTTCATTTAAATACTTCTTTCAGTAAAATTATTTGTTCAAAAATGGATCGTTTGTTTAATAAAATTGTACGTTCACCAAAAAAAACGATCGTTTCTTAGTAAAAAACCTGTAGTTTTTCAAAAAGTTTGGTACAAAAAATTGTTCGGAAAGTAAAAATAACAATCAGTTTTACAAAATCTGTTGGAAAATTCCTTTGATCTTTAAAAAAAATGATAGTTTTATTAAGTTTGGTCTAAATAAATTATTGTTTTTCTTGTTCGTTTTCAAAAATAATAGTCCTGTGAACGATCCTAAACTCTTCGTACATCCTTTGTTATTTTATCTGAACGATACCAATGTTCACGAATAATTTTCCTCGTTTTGAAAAATGTTGTTTATACACCAAAACGATGTCCATCTCTAGCCCCTGGTACATATATCTAGTGTGTCTAGTGTTGTCGATTACTGGAGTGAAGATTATGATACAGGTTAAAATCATGGAGACGAAACTAGAATTAAAACAGGGAGAAATGATGGAAATAAAAATATTTTGTCTTAAAGATATTTATCATTCTATGATTTTTTTAGTATTAGCTAGCATTCTGCATATGATAGTACAATTGTACACATAACAAAATCTCCCATCCCCCCCTTCATTCCACAAATGCCCGATTACGCTTTGATATTTATAAAACATTTTTAAATTACAAGAAAAAAAAAACACACTTTCGTATTAAGAAATGTAAAGTTTTGTCCAAAGGACAATTTTTTTTGTACCTTCATAATAACGAACTAATGTAACTATTTTCGGGGGGGGGGGGAGGGACGTTATGCAAAAACCCTACTGTCAATATATAGACATACTTAACTTAAGTCATTAGATTTCAATATTTATTAGCTTTTTAAAAATCTTGCATAGCTTTTAGCAGAGTCTTTCTTTTATTTTTTAATCAAAAAATTTGAGGGCAAAAAAGTCCAGAAGTACGAGTACAAGACTGTTTATTCTTATTCTTATTCTTATTAATCCTTAAAATTAGCAATACATTATTATGAAAATTTTAACATTTTTTTTACTATAATCTGTTTTAGCTAAAAACTGTAAGAACGAAGGCCTAATCATAGAAATTAAACAGAACAAGGTAAATCAAGAAAATTTTATGATAAAAATATGAGAAAAAAATTTTAAACACAAAGAGTCCACAATAGTATAAACTACATCTTTATATCTAATTTCTTTTTCAAATCAAATATTGATTTAAATAAGGGGAAAAACAAGTGCAAAGTTCAAAAGAGAAGTATTTTTTAGTGTTCCCTTGAGATGGTCATTATTTCTTTATTTCAGTCGTAGAAAATTAAAGCTCAATTTTACTTTAAATGTGAGCTTATTTACAGAATGGTATGCTCTGTATATTTTTTTTTAATTACATCGTGCAAAACTGTTAACTTACAAGAATATACAAAATCTTTCTTGATTTAAGATTGCAAAAAGACAACTATTATTACTTGGTATTCATATATTTGTTTATCTTAGACTAAAGGATTTTGTGAAGAAGCAACAGGAGACCTTAGCGATGATAAGGTTTTTAAAGAACATAGTCACAAACTCTACTCTAATTTTCTAATCCCTAATCTTTGCAACAAATGTCGTAGACACTAGATATTTCAAATAATACGTGCTTAGGTTTAATTTATCAGATTTTAAAGATATAGGGAGAAGAAAATTAAAGTTTGAAGCAACGGCTCAATTCCTTTATGCAGTTATGTATAACTATAAATAATGTCCTGTAAGGGTGTAAGTAAAGTGGTTCTAAAATTTAAAAGGGAGTGTTCGCGAAAAATGAAAGGGGGTATAGGCTTAATGCGATAAAAAAGCGCTTTTGATCGCTACTAATCTTAATACTATCTGTTGCGTCTATAAGGAGAAAATTGATAAAGACATCTCATACCGAAGAGCGTAGCGCCCATACAAATTGAGGAAGTTGGAACATACGACTTAGACCGTAAAAAAATCAAATTAATATCAAACAAATCATTCAGATATTACAGATAGAAGTAAGATTAGTAGCGATCAAAAGCGCTTTTTTTATCGCATTAAGCCTATACCCCCTTTCATTTTTCGCGAACACTCC